GGCGCGCCCCGGGTAGTGAGTAAATGTCGGGGTTTGAGGGCGGCTGGCGGTGGTTGAGAGCCAAAGAGGGTCAGCCTCTTTTCCTCAGGCTGCTGTGCACTTGGTCTTTCGTGAAACCCTCTGGCGCGTTGTTTTTCCGCCTCCCGTTAAAAAAAAAAAAAAAAGTCCTAATTTTTATATTCACCGAGCTGCTGCTTTTCTGTGTAGTCACATGTAAAGAAGTCAATAAGGGAATAATGCAGATCTGCGTTTAAAATGCACATTCTGGCGTTTACATTGTGAATCTCCCAGGTTCACCAACCATTAAGGTTAAAGATGGAATTAGTCCTTACGTACGGCTCAGGCCTCCCTGCTTAAGTCCCATTGTTCCAGAGCGTGTTCAGAGCCATAGCAGACCTCTGAACCTGCTCTAGAAATGGTTCTAAATGGGGTATCGTCTCTGAAAGCAAATAAGGCCAATGTATTTCCCATGGCCACGCAAGCTTTACTGAACAGAGGCCTTCAAGTGTTCTTAACTGACTCCTTTTCTTCTGTTTTGAAGGTAATTAGAGTGACAGGTTTTATGAAAGGACTTTACACGGATTTTGAATTGAAATCAGATAACGTTAAGGTGAGTATGAAACTTGGTTGTTTATTTAGCTTTAAGATTCGTATTCTTTGAAACTTCCCATAAGGTCCTTTTGGTCTTTTCTGCGTTCGTTGCCTGTCTCTAGTTTTGTGAAGAAATTGTAAAAGCTATTTCCTGTTGGTTATATTATGCAATGCACAGGGTGAACACCCATAAATTGGACGTGACACAAACAAGGTGTCATATGTGAAGAACTGTTTCTGTACAGATTTCAAAACAGGGTTTCTATGACCAGATCTGGGTTTCCAAAATACTATTGTATTACAGATGAAAAGAATCACTATGTAGCAAGATCGCCTTGAAGTAGTTAGGCATTGAGAATAAATCACAAACATTAGAAACCCACATATATCTTTTTATATGTGGTCTCTCAGTGGAATGTATGGTTTTATATTTATTGCTTCATATATGTGTGTGTATATATGCATACATATATATATATATGCACTGTATACATGTATACATTAAATATTCTTGCATAATATCCCAGGACTTTGAGGCACTCATCTAGTATATGCGTTCCACAATGGGTTTATTACAGTATACAAATTACTCAAAGAGGATGTTAATGTTATTACTGAAAAGTGGTTTTTTTAAGTACAAGAGTAACTTCAGCCTCCATTTGCTGCTCTTCTACTGTCTGCCTCCCTGCTGAGCTGACGCTGACTTCTCCAACTACCGATCTGATTGCAAACTTTGGTCACTTACTCATGACAAATAATGCAATGTTTGCGTGTTGCTAATTAGACAGCTACATCCGTTGGTGATTGTTTAACATAGCAACTGAAAGTATGAGATCTACGAGCCTGGCCTGTCATCCATACAGCCAATTGCATGGGTGTTTTATGCACTTCCTGCAGCTAATTATCGGTCTGATATGTATGTTTATTTCTGTGACTGTTCTTATTGTTGTCAGGATAACTAAAATCTAAGTTATACAAGGGGTTGTTGGTTTTGTTGGTACGGTCCCTGTTGAAGCTTGTCAGTAGGTTCTTTGATGAAGAGCAGCTTAGTACATGCTGCTGCTTCTTGGGAGAACACTGTGCAGTTTATTTGTGGATTGAAAAAACAGATTTCCTAGCTGCTTCTGAGTAGGTCTTTGTTAGTACCTACATACTGTGATAGCTGTGAAGTTGCATTGATCTTGAGTACCTCTCTGAGAATTTCATTCACAGTCCGTGAGATCATGGTTTTCCAGAGTTCTGGAAGAGGAGATCAAAATGCTGGAGTGTGGGGGAGAACATCTCTAGTTTGTGTTCCTCTTTTCAAAACACTGGTCAAGAGAAACACTTGGCTCTCCCAGAATGCTTCCTTACTGTGATTTCTGTTGGAGATGTAGAAAATCAGGAGAGTAATCTTCATGCCGAGACCAAAACTACCCACAGAGTCTGACAGCAGCAGCCAGAGTCCTTGTGTTCTCTTATAAATGGGAAGTTTGGATATCAGGCTTGCTCTTTCAGTCTTTCATATCAGCCTTAAATATATATGCACATAAAATGTCTTTATGAAGTCCCTGCTTGAAATAGGGGAGATATTTTTTATTGGGTAGACTTAAAAAAAAGGTATTTTAAGTCCTTAGCACTATTTCAGGTCTTTATTTCTATTTTGATAGAATTTTATTTACTGATGCAGGTGGGAGCTGTAGATTTCTCATCGAGTCCATGAGGATTTCTTATATGGACAGAATATGCTGATAAATGTAACTGCTGAAAATGGTGAGGATGCAGGAGGAAATTTTGGCTCTTTATTTGAAAACCTGTTTGGTTTAGCATAGTGTCCTGTCTCCTTCCTGAAATTAATAGATTGTGTATGTCCTTGGAAGGACAGACAACTATTTTAATAGAAGGAGGTTACAGTATTTCCTTCTTTTCCTTTTTTTTATTTCTGAATGCAGGGAGCACTGGCATGGGTCAAGTGCTCCTGATTGTAACGGAGACAATCTGAAAATCCCAGCTATGTGGCAGTTGTTTGTTTCAATCCGTTTGGAAGAGCTGAAGACAGGAAATACCCTGACTCTGAAGGCTGTCTTCTCCATTAACTATCAGTTACGTGCTTGCAGCAGAACCCAGCTCTCGTTTATGGAGAGGGGCTCTGGGACTTGAGATGCCATGAGAACAGCTCTGTTAAGCTCCAGTGCCGCAGGAATAGGTAGTGCTACCAGGTGGCCTGTAAAGAACGTTGACCTTGCTCAGCTGTGGAAATAGTGGCTTCTGTTGCTTTCCTCTGTATCGATACGTCTGTCAAATTTGGTCCAGGTCATCCTGGATCTGTGCACCTGAGACACTCAGACAATAAGTGCCGTGCAAAATCAGGTGTTTTACTGGATAATTACAACTGCTCCTTTTCTGAATAAACTGAAATGGCAGTGTTCTGCTTTTCAATTACTAGTTTGAATGTGGTAGTTTATATTCTTTTGAACCAATGCCTATTAAAGCACACATACAGAATTTTTCTAACATGGGTTTAGTTTTTAACAGGCTAGTAAAATACTTTCTATATCTCCACTCATGACTGTAAAGGATGAGTGAGTGGACTCTATGCTGGGCCTGGTAAATATTCCTTAAATTGTATTCTGTTTTGTTAATAAAACCCTTTTCCCCGCCCCCTCCCCAGTATTCTGCAGCTGCAGAGACTTCACACCATGATTTCATTCTCTGGGCCAGGAGCCCTCCAATAAAATTTTACTTAGTGGGGGTTTGTTTGTTTTGGTTTTCTTTTTTTCTTACAATTTTGCATAATCACCAAAAGCCATCATCTCTACTTAAGGGCATTTGGGGAAAGCTGTTTGTAAAGTATAATTATAAAACTAAAACACATCTGGTAATTGTGGATGTAAAAATATATGCTTGTATCTCTTTCCCACCATCTTTCCTGTGTTTTCTTTGCTTGCTGATAAGTCTGGCTTGTAAAGTATGTGTACAAGCATGTCAGTCCCTCAATTTAGACTGATATTAGTCCCATAACTTTGAGACTTCTGTGCTGAAAAATATTCAAGGCAAGAAGTGTCCTTCTAAGCAGTATTTGCTGTAACAATCCCACTGAAAGTCTTTAGTGGTTCTTTTTGTAGTACTTGCATGATTTGTTAAGCAAAACTTTGTCTTATTTAACATGTATGTAATCTGTGCCAAAAGACTTCTAGCGGTCTTAAAATGCACTGGAGCTAAATGATAAACATATTAAAAAGACAAAGTTATACATTCACTTCAGTCATTCCAGTTCAATGTTCATCCGTTATCAAAACTGTCATTCCTTAATCAGAAATAAATCGATAACTATAAATTTGGGGCAGCCCTCTTTCCTGACCTTAGGAACCATGTGCTGCTCTTGTTGTACAGATGCAACTGTTCTGCAACTGTTCCTCACATCAGAGTTTTTCTAGTCTTTAGGCGGTGTGCAGAATTATTTTGGAGTCTCAGTATTATTTTTTAATTGCTCTTTTACCAGGATAAAGATGCCAAAATCAGCTTCCTTCAGAAGGCAATTGATGCTGTTGTAATGGTAACAGGAGAGCCCCTGTCAGTAAAGCCAGCGCGTGTTGTGGCTGGACACGAACCTGAAAAAACCAATGAATTTCTTCAAGCAATTGGGAAGTGTTGCTTAAATAAGGTATGACATCACATATATATTTTATACATATGGCAATAGGTTATCAGAGCTTATTTGCAACAGACTTTATTGACAATCATCTTCTACTTCTAATTACACAAGATAAATGTTTGGTCACCATTTATAATAATTAATAATAATAGTAATAATAACAGAGAGATAGTATGTGATCCTTAGCAGAGTTGGAGCCAGGTCCCCATGCAAATACATTCTGGATATTTTAGTGCTTTTACAGAATCACAGAATGGCAGGGTTTGGAAGGAACCTCTGGAGATCATCTAGTCCAGCCCCTGTGCTAAAGCAGGATCAGCTACAGTAGATCACACAGCATCACATCCAGGTGGATTTTGAATATCCCCAGAGAAGGAGACTCCACAACCTCTCTGGGCAGCCTGTTCCAGTGCTCTGCCACCCTCAGAGTAAAGAAGTTTTTCCTCATGTTCAGGCAGAACTTCCTGTGTTCCAGTTTGTGCCTGTTGCCCCTTGTCCTGTCACTGGGCACCACTGAAAAGAGCCTGGCCCCATCCTCTTGGCACCCGCCCTTTAGATATTTGTAAGTGTTGATAAGGTCCCCCCTCAGTCTTCTCTTCTCCAGGCTGAACAGTTGCAGGTGTCTCAGCCTTTCCTCGTAAGAGAAATGCTCCAGTCCCCATATCATCTTTGTAGCCCTCTGCTGGACTGTCTCCAGTAGTACCCTGTCCCTCTTGAACTGGGGAGCCCAGAGCTGGACACAGCACTCCAGATGTGGCCTCACCAGGGCAGAGTAGAGGGGGAGGAGAACCTCCCTCGACCTGCTGGCCACATTCTTCTTGATGCACCCCAGGATACCATTGGCCTTCTTGGCCACCAGGGCACATGGCTGGCTCATGGCTAACTTGCTGTCTGCCACAACGCCTTCTCCGCAGAGCTGATCTCCAGCAAGTCGACCCCCAACCTGTACTGGTTCGTGGGGTTATTCCTCCCCAAGTACAGGAAACTACACTTGCCCTTATTGAATCTCATGAGATTCCTCTCTGCCCAGCTCTCCAGCCTGTCCAGATCTTGCTGAATGGCAGCACAACCTTCTGGCATGTCAGTCACACCTCCCTGATGACACAGTTTTGTGTCATGAGCAAACTTGCTGAGAGTGCATTCTGTCCCTTCAGCCAGGTCATTGATGAATATATTGAACAAGACCGGACCTGGTACTGACCCCTGGGGAGCACCACTAGCTACAGGCCTCCAGCTGGACTCAGCACCACTGATCACAACTCTCTGAGCTCTGTCCTTCAGCCAGTTCTCAACCCACCTCACTGTCCCCTTGTCTATCCCACACTGCCTAAGCTTACCTATGAGGATGTGGTGGGAGAAGCCTTGCTGAAGTCCAGATAGACAGCATCCACTGCTCTCCCCTCATCCACCCAGCCACTCTTGCCATCACAGAAGGCTATCAGGATGGACAAGCATGATTTCCCCTTGGTGAATCCACGTTGACTACTCCTAATGACTTTCTTTTCCTCCATGTGCTTAGAGATGACATCCAGAATGAGCTGCTTCAGCTTCCTGGTCCTCCTTCTTGCCCTTTTTGAAGACTGCAGTGACACTGGCTTTCCTCCGGTCCTCAGGCCCCTCTCCTGTCCTCCATGGCCTTTCAAAGATGATGGAGAGCAGCTTAGCAATAACATCTCCATCTCCCTCAGCACTCACAGGTGCATCCCATCAGGGCCTACGGATTTGTGAGTGTCCAGTTTGCCTAAACGATCTCTAACCCGATCCTCCTCAACCAAGGGACAGTCTTCCTTCCTCCAGACTTCCTGTCCTACCTGCAGGATCTGGGTTTCCTGAGGACCAGCCTTAGCAGTAAAGACTGAGGTGAAGAAGGCATTCAGTAACTCTGCCTTCTCTGTGTCCTCTGTCACCAGGGTACCCACCTCATTCAGCAGCAGGCCCACATCTTCCCTGGTCTTCCTTTTGGAACTGATGTACTTGAAGCTGCCGTCGTTGTCTTTGACATCCCTAGGCAGATTTCATTCCAAGTGACCCTTAATCTTCCTGGTTGCATCCCTGCATACCCTGACAATGTTCTTATATTCCTCCCAAGTGGCCAGTCCCTTTTTCCACATGCTGTAAACCCCCTTCTTCCCTTTGAGTTTTTCCAGAAGCTAAACGTACACTGATTTGTATTTTTCACCTTGCTTATTGTTCATTTCATAACTTTTGTTAGGTTTGAAGAAGTGTATGAAGCTTCAGAACTTTTAAAACTTCTTTTGGATGTAGACACATTAATTATATGACCAGTTGCTGCTACCTTTGACTTTGTTTTTCCAATGTGCAGCTTTTTTTTTCTTTACTTTTTTGGATATGTTAATGCAGCAAAGGAGAAATTTGATAACCTGCAGGGGCAGTTCTTAAAATAAATGTTGCATTCTTAAAATAATTGATTCATCAAAAGTAATGGGGATTCTTTGCTTATAGGTGTTACAAAGGTATTATCTAAACCCCTTGAATTAATAAATGTGAAAAAAATCTGTATATTTAACTGTGAAATACTACAGTGTTTACAGGCTGATTGCAGGTTTAGTTTGGATTATCTTTGTCTGATAATCTACTCATTTAAATTTATGTTATTTTGTTTTAATTAACTGACTGCTATGAGCTTCTTTCTTATGAGTTGCTTCAGATCAGGAAGGGGGGAGTTGATAAACATATGCACAGAGACTGGATGAGTTAAAAAATGTGCTTGATGGAACAGTTCTGATGAGATTTAATATCCAGAGGTTATAGTCTACCCATTTGAATTAAGATAATGAGCCCCTTGGCTTTTATTCTGTGTGATGTGCATTGTGGAAAAGTTTTCTGTCAGTCAGCTTGATGCTCTCAGTGCTGAGCTGAGCATGCTGCTTGGAGTTAGATAGTTCAGGCAAATGTTGCTAATGTGCAGAATTTTGTGTCCAAACGTGAAAACCCACAAAAATTCAGCCTTTTGCATTTGCAAACCAAGAGAGAATCAGGAGTCAATGACCAGGGCAATATCCGTTTTCGTGATCTAAAAGCTGTTCCTGTTTCAGGAAGGAGAATTCCTCAGCAATATGTTGGGTTTTCTTCTTGTTTTTTGTTAATGTAGTTAAACTCTGTGCCACTTGGATGTGAAAACAGGTTGTTAATTTGCTGTCTAAATGATCTAATTAATAATTGCTTGTCGTCTTAACAAACAAACTAGATGGAGAAGCTTTCTAAATGGTGTAACTGCAGCTTGTTGAAAGCCATTCTTAATGTAGTTTTCTTTAGTGACTGTTGCTGGTTGAGCAAGTATTTGGTGAAAGTGTAATGTCCTAAGAGTGGATGCAAATACAACATAATGTGGTTTTAAGGGTGTTTAACCAATCTAGCAGTCGTGGTATAAGGACTGGACAGTCACTTACCTTATCATTTTGAAAAATATTGAAGCTGTTGCAATGAGAATTGCTGTTGTGCCATAATACATAAAAAGCACCATATATTTGTATAGTTCTGGTACATATAATCAAATTATTACAAGAACTGCAAGGAGGTGTTTGACATAAAAGAGCATTATTACTGCTGTGAAAGAATGTTTCCAAAAGAGCAGAACCATAAGCTTTATTTAAAAAAACCCACTCAAAACCAAAATCAACAAAAAATCCCCAAGTCATGTTGATTACAGAGTTAGGAAGAAAGGAGAAAAGGAGATATTCAATAAAATAATTTACTCATTTCAGTGATGTTTTTCTATTCCTTGCAGCTGTCCAGTGATGCTGCTGTAAAAACGATCTTAGCTGGGGAAAGAGCTGATGCTAAAGGGAAACCTCCATCCTCTAAATCTCGAGATAAAGAAAGCAGAGAATCCAAAACAGAACAAAAAAGCCATAGAGATAAAGAGGTAGGCATCTGCAACTTCTGTGGGGTACAGGGGCTACCACTCTTTATAATTGATTGGTTGGTCTGTCTTAGCTTGCGTTTTTGTCTGTGTGATAGAGTTGCCATGTATTGGAATTGATTTTTAGTTTTTACTTCCTTTCTAGGGTAGAGGAGACACTGAAATTAAAGACAGAAGCTCAAGCAGAGACAGAAAACCCAAAGGAGGTTTGAAAGAGAGCGAAGAAAGAGAAAAGGAAAGTGATAAACAGAAGGGTAATGAAGACAGGCACAAAGACCCTGGAAGAAACACCTTTAAGGAAGGAGAAAAACAAGAAAGGGAGAGAAACAAAAGCAAAACCACCAAGCAAGGAAGAGAAACAGAAAAATATAAGGGAAAAGGAGACATAGAACGAGAAGGTGATCTCGAGCGTGATAAAGGGCAGGAAAGAGAGAAAAAAAATGAAGGAGGAAGAGAAAAGGACAGACTGAAAGGAAGAGACAAAGATAAGGCTAGGGACAGAGAACGAGAGAAAGATGTTGATAGAGGAAAAGACGGGGAAAGGGATAGACAAAGGGACAGAGAAAAGGATGGAGAGCATTTAAAAGAACATGGAAAGGGTAAAGCAGAGAAAAAGGTAATTGAAGTCTTATTTCAGAGAATAACTTTTCATATGCTGTGGTAGGGACTGAATGTTTGTTCTAATGACCTTGCATGTTTGTATTTCTGCTTATTTAACAATTAAGTGCTGTAACAGCAATTACTCTCATGAAGTGAGAGTTTCGACGTGGATTTGATCTGGTAAGAGTGTGACTGAGGCTGTGTGTGTAATTTCATGTCTCTGTCATGACATATCTTAACTTAAGCAATTAGACTTATCTGACTGTGCTTCCTGGACATTTAATAAGCAGTTTCTTTTCTGAACTCTGCATGTCTGAATTCTCCTGATGACCATAGATTATGTTTGACAGAGAGAGGTGGCAGCGACTAGTGGAACTGTGTACTTCTGTCCTCATATGTCTTCCCAGTAATACATGCCATTGTTGCAGCCATAGCCAGCTTTTGGGGAAGATGGGGCTGAAGAGAGTTCCTTTGGGCCATAACTAGTCATTAATACCTCTCTTGAGCTTACTTCTTCTGTAGCAGGACACACTGGATGGATGCAGTCCTGTACCACCTGCTGTAGGTGAACCTGCTTTCGCAGAGGGGTTGGACTAGATGATCTCCAGAGATCCCTTCCAACCCCTGACATTCTGTGATTCTGCAAGTTGTATAGCTGTATTTTTTTTTTTTTTCTGTCCTTCTAGATTAAGCTGCTCACTTCCAGCTTGATTTCTCCCCCCAACCCCACTCGTTTTGAAATAAGTGTTGGAAAGCCCATCTAGATCAAATAATTTCCCTCTTGCAGTGGTGCTCTGTCTGCAGTGGTCTCTGCACATCATGTTGCATCTTTGAGACTGAACACAATTCCATTTCCCCATACTTCAGGCCTTCTTAGTGTAAAGGCCTAAAGGCCTTAGGAGCCATCTCTTCATAGCCTTTCATTTTGTTGTTCTTTCTGTCTTCTCTCTTCGTCCTCTAAATATTTCCTGTTCTCATTTTCTGTTCCGTTGCATGCTGATTCATGGTAGAAGTTCAGGATTAATGGACATCAAAGGTGCTTCTGTTAAGGGGTAGTTTAATTTTGTTAGAGGTGAGAAAGTACTTCTGTCAGTACCTGTCCACTGGCCTTAAGGATCGTGGCCTTCCTCGTGTCACTCAAAGAACAATGTTTAACTGTCGATTTTGCACTGTTAGTCCGCTACGTGGGGCAGGCAAGGTAAAGAGGGCAGGTGGATGGCTAAGAACACGGTTGTAATGTGCTCATTTCCCCTTTCATGTTATTCAGGTAAGTAGCTCACTTCTCAGCACACTGAATCTAAAGCAATTGGTTTCTTTTCAGTCCATAAATTCTGAGGAATTACACTTAGAAAAATACAGAGGCCAACTGAAGACAGCAAGTGCCAGCCAGATAATGGGGTTAGTAGCACAGCAGGTGAATATTGAAAGTGTTGCATTTTAGAATGATTTAGGAGTCTGCATGAAAGGAATGTAGGATTGAAAGGTAGGTAGATGACTAGTTTTAGGGTTGTAAACCAGATAAAATAGATGCTTGTCTGATTGTTTGTTTTTTGGTAGATTTTTGTTTTCATTTGTTTGAGCTTGAACAAAAAAAAAGGTCTCTACTCAGTACTCAGTTTATTTAATTTTCCAGATTTTCTTTCTGTGTATTGATATGTTGGGTGCTTCAGGAAAAATATTTATTTGTTCAAAGTTTTCTGTTTATTCCTTAGAATCTTTCCTGGAAAGCTGTTAGGTTTTGGTTGTGGGGGGTTTTGGTTTCGATTGGTTTGTTTTGGTTTTTGTACTTTTTGTACTTTAATAGAAGTTACTGTTTTGGAAAGAAAATCAGTCCATTGTTGTGTCTGGGCCCGTGTTTTGCAGCTGGGTGATGATGGGGCAGAATAGCAACTCACTGATTTACCTCTGAACAGTAGCTGTTGGTTGTGATACTGTTGTGTCTGCATCTGCTGCTTCTTGATGACCTGAGGCAATCTGGGGAATTACGGAGCCATATGGCTAAATGTTTAAAGAGTGAGACTTCAATAAATTAACCTAAAGCAGCTCAGACTAGGAGAAAATAGGCAGGATCCCAAGTCTAGCAGGAGTCTCTCTTAGAGAGTCTGTGGGCTGCTGACATCATCCTGTCTTCTACATGAGATGACAAATTTATAGCTATTCTTTGAGTGAAATCCAACCAAACTTTTTAGATTATTGGCACTTTGAGGGAGAGCTTATAAAATAGTTTTTAGCCTGAAGCAAATGTATATGGCCAAGTTAAACTTCCTGCAAATTTGGTCTCTAATGGAAATTCTGAGCCTCCTCCCAAACTGTCGTAGTGCTCTTGGGCACCACAATAATACACTGGGGCAGTAAAGTTTCATTTCCCGTCTTAAGTGCTTTTGGGAGTGATTCCAAGGCATGTGGGTTTATTACCTTAAATCTACATGACATGCTTTGGTCTGCTTGCTTGCGTAACAGTAGACACTGCTTAGTTTTTAGGTGGTGAAAACATACACTTTAGACCAGTACATGACAGATGGTCATAATCTTAAGACTGAGGAAGAGAGAAATGAAATGAAAATGTTCCCGATGAATTTTTAGAGCTGGAGAGCTAAGATACTGCACAAAGTGATTTAGAGGAAATTTCAGCATGAAAAAATTGGAAAGTGCATGTAATGGACTGGGATTTGATCTTCCTGTCCTCACAGTAGTTTCACAGCAGGGTAATGCCTTTATTTCCAGGGATTTACCTTGGTTTAAACTACTGTAACTCAATTTAAGTCACGTGGCAGTGAAACAACTGTGTTTAAAAAGAAGGGAAACAGTTTATGTCTTTATGCATATGAAGAGTATTGAACCGTATTTTGTAGTCTTTGCTGCATAGTTAATAAATCTTCAGCATCTGTCTTTAGCTTTTTGTAAATATAATATAAGTGAAACACTTTGAAGCATACCCTCTCAAGCAGTGGTTGATATGCCAGTACCTCACATGTCACTCACTCTTTACTGCCTTGAGGATTGACCTCTTTTCTCGTTTGTTCCTGTCATGCTCATTTACCCAGTTAACCTGGCTCCTAGTCCTGCTCTCTTCATCCCTATGCTCCTAGCTACAGCTTCCCTTTCTTCCCAAGCCTAGTCCTATGTGGCTTCACGTTGTAGTGAGCTATTTGTCTTCCACTTGATTTTCATCTTGCGTCCTCTGAATTAGGTCCTTTCTTCAGACATGCTGCGTAGCAGCATAAGAACATGGAAACAGTGGGGGGAAAAAGCAGTGGGGAAATGGGAACTTTTATTTAATTTGAGATGTCCGCAGACTTTCAGGCTGAATGGCTTTTATGCTGCATTTACTTTAGAGAACAAATTAATTTAACTTTTTTTCTTCATATTCTACATGTACAGCAAAGCTATCACTTAAAGTTTAGTTCCTGGCTTTGGCCCTATGAGTCTTGATAAGTTTCTGTCTGTATTCTTGCAAGTCTTGATTTTTCATGCTGCTAATTATCAGAGGCCAGCTTTAAAATGCCACTTAAATTTTGACAGGTAGTCTTTTGTTTTGGTTTTTATTAAATGTATTTTTCTGATACTAAAGAACCTGTATGTTACCCAGCATGTAACAGTTGTCACATGGGTATCTATAGTTTTCTGGAACTAAAAGAAAGCAACTGTAAGTAGGACTTAAGAAGAGACGTTTGGCTAACACATATGGCTATTAGAAGACAACTATGTGCTGCTTCAAGGCTAGCTGTTGCATACCACACTGTTTGTCATCAGAGCAAGTTGAGTTGTATTTTACTAGCTCTCAGTCCATCTCGGGTAAAAGTTTAAAATGGACGCTTCATAGCATGACTTGTTGACCTTCTAAGTAATACTGTATTTTGACAAAAGGTGATTCAGGTCATAGAGCTTCTGAGGAGCGTATGGTGCTGTTTATATGAAAGTGGCTGCAGAACAGGTATGTCATTTACCCCTAAGGCCAAACACATTGGAAAAGTCTCTTCCATTTTACAGATGGCTGCTGAAACTCTTGGCTAGAGCTTTTTGTAATATCCTGTCACTTTTGGCCACTTCTATAATGACTTTTATTTTTGCCCTACAAACTGTATTGCTCTGGAACCGGTCATTTGAATCAGCCTCTAAGTCATATCTAATGAACTTCTATTTCTGTTGGAACTCATCTCAACTATATAATGAAACAACTACTGAATGAAAAAAAGACACAACTGCCCTAGAAGCAGCAGAGAGTATCATTCCATGCAAATCTGCTGGACATGGCTCAAATAGTTTTGTTCTGGTGCTGTGAATGACCCTCTCTTTTTGGTGTTAGCTATTCATAACTGGCTCATATAATAGAAATCCATCATTAAAGCTTAGGTTTTAAAATGTGGGGGTTTTCTAATTGTTCTTTTTGTGTTTGAAAGGTTTTAATTAGTAGAAGCTAACAGCAATAGAACACCACCTTGAGAGCCTTCTTTTGAGGAAAAGATAATTGATCAATATTTTCCTAATAAGCTTTATCACCACAGCAGTCAAATTGACCTTAGCAAGTATAGAGCTTTCCTTGTTGCTGTTGCACACTAATAAATTCCGTCTGTTAATAATGACAGCCATTTTAGGAATAAATACTGGAAATACTGACAGTTTGAGGGAAA